AAGTCTACGGTAAATCATCAGCCACTGACTTAGTGAGGTGAGAGGCCCTGAGACAACACTTGCTTGAACAAAAAAGAAAATGCAAACTCCACACAGAAGAGTCCAAGTTGGATTTCAATCGCAGGATCTTCTTCCTGCCTGGCAGCGGCAGCAGCGTGCAGGCCGCTGTAGAAACAGTGTATCCTTTCAGGCTGCTAAGGCTACATGTTTTTTCACCTGGTGTTGCTTTCCAACACACGTGTCACCATCACTCATAGCACATGTGTCTGATCATGCATGAGCTAAGAAAACAATAGAGCTCTGCTTGACTGGGACCCAACATGAGGGAGGCCTGCTGGTGTGGGTTTGGGAAATCACTGAAGGATGAGAAGTTCACTGGGAACGACATCCCCTGGTCCTCAGGAGGGAGGGAGTGGGAGGAAAGGAAAGAGGCACGAGTGTGTGGAGGGGAGAGGTGGCATCTGAGGGGCCTTGGGAGCCTGACTCCTGCACATCCCCACCTACCGTGCTCAGGCAACCTCAGGGCTACTTGGGTCCTAATCAGCAGGATACAGAACATCTCTAGGGGGCAGCCAAGGCAAGTTCCAGCTGCCTTGTGACTCCCTCTGTCCCTTGTCTCTCTCTTTCTCTCCCTACATCCTCCAGCCTTAAGCAGCACAAACACACACATGCATGCAGACACGCACAAACACACACACACACACGCATACACTTCCTTGATCTGCCTCCTACACCCATGCCCCTGTGTCATTATTGACTCATTCTCCTTGACTGCGCCTCACCCATCCAGCGCCTTCCACTCATTACCACGGGGCATTTGGGACCGCTGGATGCCCTTCCTTCAATGTTAAGACCATAGTTTCTCTTGACACCTCAACATGGACAAAGAAAGGGTTAAAATAAACTATTGAAGTTAGATTTAAGAGAGATTTTGTATCTTGGACTGTGCCAAAAAAAAAAAAAAAAAAACCCTGAAGGCACCAAAAAATGTTCTTCGAGATATCATAAATTTAGCACGAACGCATGATTGGCTCATCTTTATAGATATATCTTTCTGCTCATTGCCTTGCTTGGAGTGGTTTCCAAAGTTATAAAACCCTCAAGATACCCCAGCTGACTGCACAGGAAATAAATCACAGGCATAATAAATCCCCACTTTCCAAGAAGTCTGAAATATATGTGAAAAGGTGCGAGAGTGAAGAAGCATTGTGATGTGTGTATTACAGCTTTTACCTGGATTCATCCCAAATTCACCTTTTAAATTTGAACCTTTTAAAGCATTTATGAATTTTAGTCGGGCAACACAGAGTGTTTTTTCTTTTTCTTTTTTTTCTTCTTTACAGCTGTTTTAAAAGTTATGCTTTTTGCACGTTGTCCTGTTCTAACCACAAGCTGGAGTTTATTTGAATACACCCTTCTGGAGGAGCTGCAGAGATTCACTGCTCAGGTGGGAAATTCTGTCCACAGGGCAAGTTTCAGTTGTGCACTCCTCAAATTTAGGATATATGGAAGATATTGGTTAGAAGAAAGCCACAGTTTAAGGTTTGAAGACCAATGAAGGGTTTTCAATGACGCATCAAATTCTGCTGGTGAAAATGTAACATTGCACATTATCTTGAACATAACATATTTAGTTAATGGGAAGATGAATGGAGCTACACACAGGGAAGGAAGGATCTTGTACTCTATTAGAAACTGAGGTTGAGGTTCACCCTAAACATGCAGTCAGGTGTATTATGGGATGGTTTAGATCAAGGCATACCCATGTGTGTTTATGGTCCAGTTAAAGTCCGTACCAACTTTGCAAATCAGAATATACCTGTTAAAGAGCTGCTGCTGTAATCGCAGCAAAATTGTTTTACAAAGAGTTGACTAGGCCTGTCACAATAATCAATAAATTAATTAATTGCATGACAAATTAAAACAAGCTTAATAATTTCAATTTGCATGACTTATTGTTTTTCCCTTCCTACCAAAACTGGATGATGAAACTTTTCAGTCTGGTGTTTTGGTCTCAACCAGCCCCTTTTTTTGAAAAATCATTTTGCTTACACAGACTTTATAATTTATTTTATCTGTTCTGTTACTTTGGTTATTTTAGATATTTAAAATGTCTTCCAGCACCACTGTTAAATGTTCATTAGAATTTAAAGTTTATTGATCTTTGCAGTGTTATGCCATTTCCTCTACATGAAAATTGTCTCAAAACAACAATATTATCGTTTATCACGATAATTTCTGGGACAATTTGTCACTCAGAAAAAAATTTATTGTGAAAGGCCTAGAGCTGACTCAGGGAGACTGAATCCAAATACAAAACACTTTTCAGATTTAGACAAATCAACTAGCCTTCCGATGGTTTGTCATATAAAGTCCCAATAAAATACTTCAAAGTTTGTGAAATGTGAATTCGCAGTTTGTATACAATTCTTGGGGTTAATTTATGGCTTTTTTTTCCCCCAACTCTGGTTTGTGAAGAGTGAGCCAGAAAGCAGAGTAAGCTAAATCAGAGCCGGTCACACCTGCTGCAGCTGTGTAGAGCAAGCTTACTGTGGTCCGCCTCTCTCTGTGGCACAGGGCGGGCGCTGGGCTGAAAATGTTGATTTATGCATGTTGATGTACAAAGATTTTTAATGAAGGGGAATAATGACCTGTATTTACAGAGAAAACCTGCGGGTTGACAGGCCTGTTTATAACGCCGCGCTGGCCAACAGCTGTCAAGTGCATTTGACACCGAGTAGACCAGGATGTGCTGACAACATCTGTTTACAAAACAGCTCCAGGACAGTGCTAGCACAGTGCTAAGTGTTCAACACTGACAGACTGCACTAAATACATGTTTTTTCAGAGCTTAGTGTTCAAGAAATATAGCATGCATCAAGCTGTGTTTTGCTTGAAAGAGCTGTAAATAATACAATTAGGCTTTTTTTCTCCTTTAAATTAACAGCTTGAAAGTCAAATTTACCCTCGGCTTTTGGGACGTGCACACAGCACTAAATTCCCACCTTGTGTAAACTGAGATGCAAGCCCAGCATGATGACAGCGCAACATAGAATGGAGTTCTGTGCTGCGCTGCTGGCGAGACTGACGTGTGCTCTTTAAGAGTTTGCCAAGTACAAAAGTGAGAGGCGATGGTTCTCCTCTATACTAATTGAGTCAGCATGCACTGCAACTGGTCAAAGTGACCTTTTACTGGATTACAGTGCATTGACTCTGCACTTCAGGGAGCATTAATAACACAGCAAACAGAAATGTAGAGAAATGTAAAGCCTACAGTGTGTACACATTGTGTTAAGTTACTAGAAAGGCCTCTGCTGGACAAGCTGTGATAAATGGGAAATAGACTGTATATGTCACGCTGGTTCAGAATGTTTAAAAGTGAGATTTGAGATTTGGTTAAAAAGTAAAAACAATCAGTATACCTAATGTAGATATTTATTTTGTCATTTGCATTCAGAATATAACCAAGCTAACTGGTCCCGGAGGAAATAGCCACTGGTAGTATGAGAGACCGAAGTGCACATCTCTGTTCATAGAAACAACTAAGTAGTTTCTGCTGGGGGTACACCGATGGCAGTGTTCTGCCCGATGCCAATTCTTCAAAAGCTTGGTGAGCCAATTTGGATTTTTATTTTTTTTATTTTTTTGTCTGGTATGTTGCTAAATATAGCAACAATGTGCATTGGTGCTATATTTAGTAAGTTGGTAACATTGGGGTGACTACTGTGAACAACGCACGTGCAGATGTGAACTGGTAGGTGGATCTGTCAGTATATAAATACTTAAATTTGTACTTGCTCAATGGTGCTCACTGGGACTTTCCACAGACATCCATGTTTGCCCAGATTTTTGTGAACACACTGACAACAGGTCGTATCACAAGCATGCACAAAAAAAAAAAAAAACTACAACTGTATACAAGTTATTTAAAAAGCAAAAAGATTGTGGTTTAAGGACATGATATTGATTTTTACACTGCCTTACTTTTCAGTTACTCTCACTGAAAATGAAATTACACTTCATTCTCTACAAGTAGACAACAGTTGTTTAAATTACCATTATAACTACCTAATGTGATTGTGAACATGGCTTAAAACTTCATAAAGGAGTGTTTGTATAAAACAGGATGACATATTTAAGAATGGCTTTGTCTTCACATGGTAGAAGTCCAATTTAGTCGAGGCCTGTTATTCTTAAAGTTTGGGGCGCACCATTTAGGTATCAAGATTGATCTATTATCAAGTCTATTACATAGATAATGAAAAAGTGAAAAAGGTATAGCCTTAAATCTGATACAGGAACCGTTTGAGTAATGATAAAGGTATTCCTGTTTGATGCAGTGTAAATGTTATGAACCTCAGATGAGGATAAAAAGAGATAAAAACAGAGTCAGAATGATGGATAGCTTCCCTTAAAGTTACAGCAAAAAAATAAAATAAACACAGGTGATATTTATGAACTCTGTTCTTTTAACGTGAAGTGTTTGTCAAGATACAATATTAGCTTCTGTTTAAAAATTCTCTTCAAAATTAAGATTTATCAACTCATTTTTGGCCTGAAAAGTCTAGGCTCATCTCAGAAAAGCAGTTAGCTTGTGGCTTCAAGCTAACGGCTAATTTAAGTGCTCAATTCCAGTCGTCAATAGCTAATATCTGACAACTTTTGGATATACACCTGCTTAGATACAACTCAATGAAAATGCCAAGTTCCCTAGTCAGCAGTCATTCAGCTCTGCAAAAGTTTAGTATTGAGCCATTTATGTTATTGAAGAAGGGCTCAATCTAAAAGTTACAGGATGTTATCTTCCAAGAACTGAACCTGGATTTATAATAAATGAAGACAACAAAAAAGTCTTTGCTTACAGAAATGTGGCACAAATTCCCTTACAAACTAAGAACTATTTCTTTAAAATCACGTAACTAGCTTGTATCGATAATGAATATCACAATGGTAACATTTCAAAGACACTCGCATCTTCACTGCACTTCAGTTAGACGTACCTGAACCACAGGGTGTCCCCCAGACAGCGCCTTCACGGCTCCTCGGCTTCCCTCCGTCTCATAATGGGCCCTGTGGTGGGACTTTGGCTGCACCTCAATCTGCAGGTTGTACGGACCGGAGCAGGACGGCAGCTGCCAGTCAAGAGCCGGCAGTGAGGGGCTGCAAAGAACAGGACAAGTTGATTGCCCTAAGCTGAAAGTAACATAAGATTAAAATCACTGCTTTTTTTTAATTGAATTTGCAGACGTGAACTTCCAGGCGCTTCACTGTTCTCTCCATGTCAGAAAAACCTGGATCTAATAATTCCAAGCTTGCTTTAAATTAGCCACAAATTGGGCCACTTTGGAGTAATCCAACTGACTTGATCTTCCTCCGTTTCATCATGGTCCTAAATCTAACCAACAGCACTATTACACTGACATGCATAATTCTTTAGGCCAGGTTAATAATTAGTTGTGTCTTTTATGTACAAAAGCAAATGAAAAGCAAATGTGGCCCAGTTTGAGAGCTGTGTGTTTTACATTATGGCATGACAGGTGGGAACAGCCACAACGAGTTAAGAAAGTGACAGCAGGATGAAAGACATTTCTGAGGCACGCAAACAAAACCTGGTACAGACCAACGTTTAAGCTGCTCTGTTGCAGGATTGGGTAACACTGAGATTTGACGACACAATCCCCGTCGGTTTTGAAGAGAGCGGATCAAGACGCGCGGCCCGTCTTTGGAGTGCATGATATCTCTTTCTCCGAGCCGCAGCCGGCATCCCTCAACGTCATTGTTCTCCAGACAGAGAGTCAGAGATTCCCATGTTAACGACGCAGAGATATCTAAACCAAAACAAACATGTGCAAGACAATATTTCTCGGCTGGCCGGATGCCTGCTAAACGCAAACCCTTGACCCGAGGGGCGGTTTGGCTGAAACCAATCTCTGGCATCTCTGTGGAACTTGCGGGCTGTTTGTTGACCCAAGACAAACTGATTTCCCCCCGCAAGGCTTTATCTGCCCAGACGGTGCATGACATCACGTTAACTGCGGGGAGAAAAGATGGTCTAATGGCGCGACAGGCCAGTGCAGCGAGCCAGCTGATTAACTCCCAGACTGCTTCCCCTTCAGTCGAGCCTGTCACCGTTACTTCCTGTTCCTCACTATCTTAATCAAACACTTGATTTCCAACAGGAAAGTGTGCTATTGGCTTGGAAAGACATGCCACAAAGGGGGGCTCACCTTGTGTGTTTGTTTGAACGTGTGTCTACACACCATATTTGTGTGTGAGTTGTTATAGCAACGGCTGCATACACAAGCTGAGCAGCTCCTCTGTGCGAAATATGATTTATGAAATACTCTGATCTTCAAAGGGAGCTTGTTTGGAAGTGAGGAGCGTGTATCTTTGATTCTTTGACTTTTCATACGGCCTTTGAAGATTAAAAACTGAAACAATCTTGTCCTCTCAGGAAAATAAGCAAAACTTAATATAGATGCATAAAGACAATACATGAGTCAGATTGAGGTGATGGATTGTGTACTCAGTAAAACAGTGAGCTAAAGGCTTAAAGGTAAAGATCAGAGGCCCGTTTAAGGTAGTAGAAGTGTGTGCATCTCTGCTTCTAGCGGCAGTTTTGGGGAAAGTTGGATCTGAATGAATAATATAAATTATCCACTGGTGGCACTTTATTTAGAAAGGAGGATTCAGCTTAACGTCTGTCATATATTATTTGTTTTATGGAAACCTTTGCAAATGTGACTCCCTGGTGCGACCCAGCTGTCTGAGACAAACTTTACAAAGAAATGCTTCCACCATGAGCTGTGGGTGGTGTGTAGATGGGGTTCTAGTCTGTGGGGGATTACAGATAATGCAATAAATATTGCGTTGGACTAAGAGGGAGCTACAAATGTCCAAAATGATGTCAGAGATTGTAGTTTGCATTTACGGTTGGGACAATGAGACCTGATCATCTTGCTCACAAGAACAAAACAAGCTCAGAATCATTAACAACCATGAAATGCTCCTGCAGATCCACATGTAAGAAGTTTTAAAGCAGATCTGAACTTTACCATCTTTAGTGGGTAATGCATAGGATTTAAAATAGCCTTGTTGTGCTCACAAATACTTTACATCTCATCTTCCACAGTGTCAACTTTTCTTTTTTTCAATAGAACCTCGAATGCTACCACATAAAATATTTCAATATGGCATCGTATTGTCGGAGTTTGTGTTGTAATCCAGGCTTATTTGTTCACTCTGTCAACAAACCAGGGGAATAATGAAAAAACTTTCTTTTTTACTCAAAACCAAAATTATTAAGCATAGATAAAACATTACAACGCATCCAGGGCTTATATTGATAGTTTATAAGCCCTGGATACTAGCACATCATATGACACAGAATGTAGTCACATAATGACAGAAACGGACACAGACTTCACTTTCATAATAAATATTGCAGTGTTTTACTGCCATGAGATCTTGTCCTACTAGATCTTGTTACACCCCTAATCAGGACTAATTCATGCCATTTTGTTGCATCTTATTCAAAGCTCTCGTTAAATGAAAGTAAGCAGAAGACCTACCCAACCCATGGTCCAACACACGACTGGGCAGGTACAGGAATATTAACAGATTTGTGAAACCTCAATACACAATAAAAGGAGTGGCTTACCTGAGGTAAGGCTTGGGTTTAGACCATGAGTATGGATGCTGTGGTACATCCAGAAACCCTCCACAGTAATTCTCCTTCTTGAGGCTAAGGCGGGAAGGGTACTCCTCATGTCGAAGCTCCCCTTCTGGACCCAGGTCCTCACCTCCGGGTTCCACCTTCAGACTCATGGATGGTGAGAGGTCCAGCATGGTCTTCCGTGTCTTGATTGGGATTCCTTCCGCCATGTCAGCCATTCCGTCTGTGGTGAGAGCATTAATAGCTGCAACAATGGCAAGGTTGGTGTACTGGTTGGTGTTGGTAAGCCAGTTCTCATCTGTGACGCTGACCCTCGGGGAACCATGTGAAGAAGGGGTGGGTGATTGGTTGGGTGAGCACGATGTCTGCTGGTAAGAGGAGCCGCTGAAACTGTATTTTCTCTTGCCCATGCCACCGCTGTTGCCTCCGCCAACTCCACTGCAGGAGGGGGAATTTGGCCGGGACCCACGTGGCTGCGCTGGCCATCCCTCCTCTGCCATCGCGCCTATTTGAGGGGAGTTGGAGGGCGAATGGTGAGGAGAGGCTGCGGGACCGATGGCATGTGGACAAGACAGAAGTGAGGATGACCCTCTGGGCGAAACGCTGGGTGACTGCCAGGGAGAGTTCTGCGGGGAATTGTCGTAGTTGTAAAAGCCAGATTCGTAGGACGAGGCCTCTGAGTTACAGCTGCGAGAGGATATGCTGCTCGCGGGGCTTAGACAGCTGGGGTCACGGTACCCATCCACATTCGGCAGCGTCAGTGTGACGATAGAGTTGACGCCTCGTTTGATGATGTGATCTTCTCTGCCGCTGGCTTCTACTTCATCCTCCGGGTATTGGCTATAGGCGGTGATCTCTATACGAGGGCTTTCCAGAGCCGGAGCGCCGTTGGGTCTCAAGGCTTGAGGCAGGTAGTAACTTGACACGGCATGGTTGTCATTTTGGACACTGTAGCCAGTCTGGTGGCAAGAGGAGACCGGGATGACAGGACTGGACTGCAAGGTGTGGTACTGCGTAGACAGGCATGGGTTGCCCATGCCAATTGGAAGACTGACGTTTGGTGTGTAGTTGTATGCATCTGAAAAACATAAATCAGAATTATTATTTACAACTAATTCAGTGAAAATGTTTTTTTTTTTTAACTGAATTCAAGATGGCGTATCAATTCAGTATTTCCCAATTTACATAGAGCAACAAGGCATGTCTTAAGCTTTACTGCACATGAAGCATAGTCACAATTTACACCGCTTCTCTGTTTGTTTGATCAGTGCATCCATGGCTCTATTCGGCACACCCTGCTGTCATATGTACTCTACAAGAATTCCTCCTGCAGCTCTGATTGATGCTCCGTTTGATTGATTGCATCACTCACTGAGTGAATTAGGCCCTCCCCTGTGGACAGCTGACAGCACTCTCGCATCGCTCCGAGGTTGTGATTAAGTCAAAGAGAGTTGGCTGTAGCGCTGTACACACAGATGCACAACGGTACACGCACAGTACACGCGAAACCAAGCTCACGAGAATATCGCAAGTGCAAGTCAACTACAAAGTCAGAGGAAGCACTTATATCCTAACGTATGTACCTAAGCGGTATCACACCCGTCGAGGTTGGCTGCTTTGTCAAAACTCACATCTTTTTCTTTTTTTTTTGTATCCAACAGCTTTAGTGATGCTGAAGGTGGTGAGACATAACATCACTGAGTCTGAAACCTGATAAAGGGCACTTAATGTGCTGTGCTATATTTGTCAACCACAACATTATTGCGCATCACATGAAATGACAAAGCCGTCACATGCCACATAACATGTGGGCAGGGGATTTAAAATTAGTTTACGGACCTGCTTTTAGAAACCTGCATCTCCAATAAAACAGTTGACATTAATGATAGAAACAACGGACATTTAAATCAAACTTTGAGAAACAGTACACCCAAAAGTTTTCAGACAATTTAATATGAATCCCCTAATAGCAATAAATTAGGAAAGGCTTTTCTGCTCCTCACTACCCACCTCTGTCTGGTTCATTCTGGGCAGCTTGACTGTCCTCAAACAAATAGCTGAAGTCAAACTCTTGCTCTTCTTGCTGGGAACTCATCTCTGCCTCTGTCATTATCCACTCTTTCAGCATGAAAGCTAGTGTGACCCAGCTCAGTCCTCTCTGATGCCTTTCTCTCCCTTTTCTGGTCTGAACAGATGATGGTCTCCCGCCCGCTCCACCCGCCGTGATACTCCTCCTTGAGTCAGGCCCGGCTGCCTTTAGCTTGCGCTGCAGCTGATTGTTTCTGCTACTCCTCTAAACGTGTGTTTGATCTGTGCACTGAGTTGCAAGCACACTTGACTTCTTCTAACACCCACTCAAAACACATTGAGGCTTTCACTTTTACACACGGCATGATGTTGAAACTCGGGTTTTCCGGGTTCACACGCGTCACTGCTGCTGAAGAAAGAAAACTTTCAGAAAGCTCTGAATTTTTTTTTTTTTTTGGGGTGCGGGGAGATGATTATAAGAAAGGTCAAAGCCACACTTGAAGACAAAACAGTGCCTCCACGTTTGCTTGCGGCGTGGTCTCAAAGTGCTCTCACTGTCGCACAGATTATAACGTGTTCTCTCCGTGCACAGCAATTTTTCTCAATTACACTATCATGATCAAAACATTCTCTCACCACAACTAAACCAGTATGACTAAAGAATACTGGAGCTTATCCACAGGGATTGTGGTGGAGGCTGCGCTCAGACTGACAGGATCTCAGAAAGAGAGATACGTGGTCCCTTACAGAAGTCATCTGCAGCCTCTGGAACTGAGAGCCCTGGGGCCATTTTTGTGCACGCATGGCTGGCAAAGATCTTTGGCCAAACATCGGACGGGTCCGTGTGTGTGTGTGTGTGTGTGCGTGTGTGTGTGTGGACATCTGGATTTATCTACGATAGCTTAGCGGCTCATGGCGCATAGCTGAATCTCCGTGTGGTTACGCATAGCTCCTTGTCAAGTCGGCTACCCGACATCCCACAACGCGCAGATCACAGCTCTCCGTCTTAGTTGCAAACACAGACACACGCACATGCCTGTTACCAATTATGAGGCTTAGTGCTCAGGGACTGAAATGAATAATAGGCCTGCACCCGTCTGTACGGAACCTCAAAGACTTAATGAAATTCCCAACATCCACAAAAAGCCAGTGCCATCAGCACTGAAAATTGAGACTAAACAGACTATAAAGAGCTTCAGATAAAAAAAAGAAGGAAAAAAAAAGAAATCAAAGTTTGCTGCCTTGAATGTGAATGGGATCTGATTTGTGTGCCTTCCAGCAGAAAACGGGCACCACAGAATATCGCCCATGCTCAAATGTTAGTGCATTTTATTTAACCATGACTACAACTCGCAACTAAAAAGTAACATGAGATGGAAATTGTGTTACACTTACAATGTATATATGAGACATATATATATGTTTTCTGTATTGACATTAGTGTAAATTTTTATTTTTATAAAACGATTACTGAACTTATGATGACATTCTCTACCAGCTGTGGAGGGATTGATGTACTGATGTGAAGTAATACAAAAATAATTTACAAAAAAAAAAAAAAATAGTGAAAAGCCGTTTTTTTAGTCTTGATTTTGACACAGTTTGAAGGTGGTTCTATAGTGTAGAAAGCTGAAAATATAGAATTTCAATGAGAGAAAAGTAAACATTTTACACATTAAGGGAGTTTCGCTTTACAGGTTAAGAGAAACTATTATCTCTTAACCTGATTTAGTCCCTTTTCTGATCCACCCCCCCATGAAAAGCAGCTGCTTAGTTTGCTTATGTCTTGGGCCGGCTATGTCTCTCCCTCTCTCAAGCTCATATTTTAAAAAGGCAAACCACTACCTCAACTTCTGCACAGAAGCCTAAAAAGAATCAGAATCTCCAACAACCCCTGGGATGAAGAAGCTCTCCGTTTGTTCCCTCCTCACCCCTACATCTAACATGACACTTTCATAGCAGTCAGGGTTTATGAATCCCATCATCTTTAAGAAGAGGTGCACCTGCAAACACGACTGGTAACGGTGTGCATGTAATGCATTTGAATAAGATTGTGTTTTGGCAGAGTTCAGCCAAAACAATGTGTTGTGGAACTGACACAATGAGATTTTAAAGAGATGTTGTTTTTTTTCAGTCAATAAAATCTGGAGAAATAAGCGTTTTGTTTTGTTTTTCCTTTAAGAGAATATTCTATATCAATGCACTTTATATTCAAATCAAACATTATGAATGTAAATGTTACCTTCCTCTGCAGACTTCATATCGGCGGCGGCGGTAGATTTGAGACGCTGGAGTCCCCGCTCCTGACCGGCTGCTGCTGCTGCTGCTAGCGCTGCTGCTCCGAAGTTGAACTTGGCTTTGACGCTCAGGCTGGAGGTATCCTGCATTCAACAAGCGATGCGCAACTTTCGTCCGGCTGCGCTCAACGTGCACCAACGTCTTCGCCGACGGTACTATTCAAGAGCGGCAACACTGCTTTACTTCACACGCCGTAAGGCATAATTCGCTTCGGAATCTTTAAAACAGAAGAGTGAACTTTTCTTCTGAGCACGAGCGAGAGGAGTAAACCGTGTCGGAGAGGGGAAGGAGGAGAGGGGGGAGGAAGAGCGGCAGCGTTTGGACCGGGTTGAGGTGAGTTTTGGACCGCTTCTGAGCGGTGAAGGTTCTCTGAGAAGTCTCCACAGTTGGATGACGCAGCTCGGTTTGTCAGAGGAGCCGGCTCCGGTGCTTTTAAAGCTGGAAAACACCCTCCGTCCGTGCGCCGCCCATTCCACAGGATGACGCGGCCGGCTTCTGCAACCTCCTGGAGCGGCTGATGATGTCTTCCACCCAGGGAACCCTCCGGGGGAGGTGGAGGGAATGGTGTTTGTACGCGCGCGCGCACGTGTGCGCGTGGGCGTTTGGGAGAGAGAGAGAGAGAGAGAGAGAGAGAGAAAGTTGCACCGACGTCTTCCATATCAACAAATGATCAGTCTACATTATTCTGTTGATAATATTGCCCCCCTCAGTGTAAAGTGAGCTTTCCATATGAGTAAACAATCCCAAATAAATACTTTTTTTAAAGTTTGACGGTTTCTCTTTTTTTTCTTTTTTATTTCCTCCAAAATGCAAAAATAGGATTTTTCTCAGTTCTGAAGATGTCCATCATCTTAGTCACCAGAAAATTGAGAAACTGACGCCAACATCAAAGTTCAAATCACATTCTTTACCACATACCAGACTGACAAAGTATGGGATTTCACTTAGCTACTTTCACTGGTCTGGAAAAGTATAGAAAAGAAGGCAGAGTATGAGAAAATATTTGTTTTTCTGAAATGTATTCCCTGTTCAATTCTCTCCTTTCTCCTTTATTTTTTTTTCTTCCTTCCTTCTTCCATTCCTTTCTGACTTTTTTGTTTTTACCCTTCTTCCTTCCTCCTTTTTTATATTGATTAAAAAACAAATTTAATACAAAAATCCTGTATGTAAATCTTGTCATAACTCAGATCATCCAAGTATTTTTTATTTTTTTTTTTCAAATATAAATGTCATTGTGGTTGGTGATCCTGTGGACAGGCGGGACCTCTTACAGTGAGTCTGGAGAAGCCTCTGACAGAAGACTGATTCTCATGATTGACATGGCATGCCATCAACTCAGCAGCAGAGATGATATTCCCAAGAAACACGTCATGAGTGACACCGTCAGTTGTTGGCCAGCACTGATATTCTACCTCATTTGCTTTTTTTTTTTTTTTTTTATCTTTAACTCTGTGTCTGGCCTGATGGCTAGGCTGCTGGGCAGAGAGATGTTGGAGTAGGGGATTTGATGCTTACCCATTATGACTGAAGAAAGACATGTTTTGAAAATTTTCCTTCTGTCTTTGCTCTTTGTCCTGCTCTGCATCCAAGCATCCTTCTTTTTAACAATTGATTATTACTAAGTTATTTTTTGCATCCTCTTGCTACCTGTTTTGCGCTACATCTTTTCTTTCTATGTTTCTTTTTTCCCCCCCTTTTTTTCTCTCTTCATTTCATTGGTTTATTGCTTAATCCCTTCTTTCCATTTTCCTTTTTGCTTCCTTCATCTGGTTTTTGCCAGTCTTGTATTTGAACTCATATTTTATCCTGGAAAAGTGCGAACTTTGGACATGATCTGCACACCGCATAAACAGAAAAAAAAAAGTGGATTTTGTGGTAAAACTGTCAGCTGTTGTAAGAATTTCACTGTAAAATTATGAGGAAAACATTGTTTGTCTTTCATTGGTTAGACGGCACTGTTGTTGTTGACTTTATAGTTAAAAAATGAAAATGTTTTAAAAGGAGGATAGAAGTGTTTTTCCTAAAACAAACTTAAAAACAACCTGCAAAATGAACGTACAAAATGTAAAATGTACAAATGATAATTTTCACCGATTAGTTTCACATCAGATTAGCAGGTTGAAATTGTTTTCTAGTTTTACAGATTTTTCCAGCAGCAATTTTACTGTTGGCAATCGCTGTTAAATATACAGATATTTTTACAGTATAAAACTTTAAAATATGAATTTATTTCAGGTTATTTCACACATCGTAGTGGAGACAAACTTGTTCGCCCCTGCTTTAAACCCCAACTGATGTAAATTATCTTTCTTCAAGAGATTTTCTTACGCTAGCAGTTTTGCTAAAATATGAATGGACACTAAATAGATTGTAGCAAGCCGTAAGCCTCCCCAGATGTTATTGCGTACACCTGTCTCAATGGTATCTTACACACACAAAGCCACCCGTCCGTCCCATGAATCCCTCAGTCTTATCTCAGAAGCTGGCTTTTATGCCTCTTGTTGATAACAGCCTTGATGGTCTGGTTCTCTTGTTTGGCCTGTTTGAAGCTCATCTGGTTTTTCTTACAGAGAACTGAAATATTGACTCATTCTGCCACAGAAAACTTTTCCGTCGTAATTCTATCTTGTTCTGCTCATGCCAAGAGAACACAGTGAAAGAGATAATATATTCCATTGTCCGGCTTCATTTTGGACTTCTGGGTGTAGAGGTGAGCTGCAGCGTTAATTGACGATGGATCTTTTCCCAAATACAAGTAATACACAATGTGGATGTGGAAGGAAAAAAAAAAGACTCAAAGCCAGGGCAATGTGTGGTGTGGGGACATCACATATGTTCCACTGCTGCAAAACTTACATAAGTGCTACACCAATGTCAAAGCAATCACCCAATAATAATTCAGGTTAAACTATGCAGATGCTCTTTCTACACCGATGAAAGATTCAGTCACATCTGTTTGCTGAATTCATGGAATGGTTGCAACAGAAAAAGAACTGTACCTAGCTTATTATATTAGCAAATAAGGGTGTTTTCACACCTGATAGTCCAGTAGATCTGTTCGATTGGGTTCAAAATTGCAACATTTGTTACATTTTTAACTGGTGCCGTTCTCGTTGCCACTGCACTGTGGCAAATGATCCAAGCTATATGAAAAACCTGTACCCCCGCCCACACACCTGTGGTGGCGCTGCACCAAGAACTGTTGAAGGAAATGACAAAAAAATCTCAGGAGGCATGAGCACAACTTCCTTCTTCACAAAATGTAAACAAAACCTGGAGTAGCGTCAGATTTTAGCGTCTGCATGATTTCCCTTTTGTTTTTGATAAAGTCTATGTCCACTGACTTGCACGTTTGTTTTGACTGTATTTACACAGAATGCCATGCGCTATGGTCTACTTCCTGCTTTTGGAGAGGTCTCCGGTCTGCTTCCATCCACATGCTTTCGAACTGCACCAGAGTTCACTTTAATTGAACCAAGACCTAGGTTTTTAGGAGGACCAGAGTTGGCTTTTTTCATCTGCATCAGAGTTCGATTGCTCATTCACGCCTCCTCTCCCCCAAAAAAACTGACTTTGTAGACAAATGATCTAAAGTTTGATTAAAGCGGACTAAACAGGGTTGGTGTGAATGCTCCCATCTCAGGAACTTTCTTCCTGAGGTGATTGTCTGATTATCAAGTCGTGAAGAAAAACAAGATGGCGACACTCCCTTAAACGTAACTTATTATGCAGTAGCAATTCATCAACAATGTGCCAGGGTGTGATGGTTCATAAATTGCTGTTCATTTCTCCAAGTTTTGACTTTGTACAAAGTGTCTGTAGCAAGAAGAGAAGCAACATCTAAAAATGAAAGGTACAGTGTTGGTGGATGTTAGTTTAATAGCCCAGCTTACCATCTTCACCTGTCAACTGATCTGAAAAGTTGCTGCAAATCAGTAAGAACATCCAAAATACCTGAGCGTTAAATAATAAAATTAACACTGTCAGCTTGCACTGACAAATTTCAAATGGGTACAGTTCAATGTCATTGTAATACTCCAAGCACATGTTTTTATGTATGAAAATTATTTTAAAAACCGTAATGTCATCACATCATTTGTTCCAATCATCATAATTAACGATGGCTTTGACAAGCTACAATGACATTTACTTTGAATGTCTTCCAGGTCCCTTGGAAAAAAAAAAAAAAAAACTAAAAATGGAGTTGCTTGTGTCTGAAATGTTTCTGGCAAGCCCGAGGATGATCACACATAATCAGAAACAGATTGACTTCTGGGGGAAGGCAGGCGAGGCGAGGCAGAGCTGTGGGGCAACGCTGCCTGCACCAGAAGAAAGTAATGGGACGCGGTGTTTTCTTTGCCTACAGAAGCTCTTTGGCGTCAGCTGCGGCTTGGCCAATGAGCGTGTGTGAGCTCAAAGATAAAAAAGCAGGATCACGTAGTTTGGGAGATGAATTATCCTAAAACTTAGCGGTGGGAGAAAAGTAGCCGATGGGCACCAGCCAACCGGCGCAACTCGCTGAACAACTTTAAGCATCTCATGATGGATTCTGTAATGCTGAGGGAAGCAACAGTAGCTAACGTTGTGTCAACAGTTGCCGAGGCTTAGTTACAGGGACTGTAGCC